CCCATCTCCACTGTTTGTCCAAGGCTGGGACAGAGGACCTGGGGGCTGCGGGGACCGAGCTCAGACCAAATAAGTGAGTCCAAATGTGTCCTCCCCTTTGGAAGGAGCGGGTATCTGCTGTGCCTCCCCCTTCAGGGACCTTTTAACACTCTCAGGAGCAGTTAGCAATGCTCCTCTGGTTCATTCATTCATTCATTTATTGACTCATCCTCCCTTTAGTTATTCACTCAACAGACATTTACTGAGACAAAGAAACTCTTCTTCAGTAGTCGCCCTCCCAGGCAGTGGGCAGAGCCCAGGGAGCCCACGGAGGGGAAGCTGCTTCCTGGAGGGCTGAGCCAGAGATTCAAAAGGGAGGGAGAAGGGGCGGCCTGGGGTGCCTGCCAGGCGGGAGGGTGCGGGACTTGAAGCAGAGGGCCCTGCTGACCCCCACCATTCCTGGTTCCATTGGAGTCATCATCGGAAGTGCAAGGAAGGTCCTGGCATGTCCGTGGCAGCGGGAGAAGATTAGAGAAAACCAGTAAACCAAGGGCAGCCTTAGCTTCGGTAGAAATCACAAGCAGAGGCCAAAGCCAGAACCAGCCTTCCGCACCCTGGAAGTTGCCAGATGGCTGCAAGGGTGCTGTGCCTGCGTGCCTTTGAGAAGGAATTGAGTGGGAGTGGCTCAGCTTTCAGCTGTGGGTGGATGGGTGGATGGGTGAATGGGTGGGTGGGTGGATGGATGGGCCAGCCAATGGACGAACAAATGACTGAAGGCTCAGCACACAGAAATAATCAGCTACTGCAGAAACCAGTTTGGCTCAGTAGATAAAGCCTGCAGACTGAAAGGTCCCAGGTTTGATTCCGGTTGGAGGCATGTGCCTCGGTTAGTGCAGGAGGCAGCTGATCAATGTTTCTCTCTCGTTGATGTTTCTAACTCTCTATCCCTCTCCCTTTCCCTCTGTAAAAAATCAATTATATATATATATATATTTTTTTTTAAAGAAATAATCAGCTACATTTATTAGCATTCTCCTCAGAACGGTGTGTTTGAAGAAACTTAGGGGATGGGCTCAGGTGGCATTTTTCTTCAGGCAAAAGACTTGCCCAGAATTTTCTCATCGGTTGCAGGCAAACCCGGCAATGCTTCCCTTGCAGGTGCACACTCACTCTCTCTGAGTCCAACTCTAAGGTCCAACCTGGGAAAGAGGGTTCCAAGGACACAGGATGGATTCCAGCTGAGAACATCAAATGCTGAGCCCCAGTGCCCTGGGTCTGAATCCCCCAGATGGCTAGGGAAATGTGGGACAATGAGGCAATAATTAAATAAGTAATTACCAGGCGTGGCTCAGTGGGTGAACATCAATCTACAAACAGGAAGATCCAGGATTGATTCCTGGTTGGGGCACATGCCTTGGTTGCAGCTAGCTCCCCAGTGTGGGGAGTGCAGGAGGCAGCCAATCTGTGTTCTCTCTCATCACTGATGTTTCTCTCTCTCCCTCTCCCCTCCTCTCTGAAATCGATCTATATATTTTAAAGGTGCATGTGGATGGGTGGTCAGAGGCAGCACCCAAAGAAAGCAGGAGGCAATGTTTTGTGTTGAGTGCACACAGCGCAAAGGTTCCTGGGAATATTCCCTAAGTGCAATTATACCCGTCTTGGGGTCATTCCTCCTCTGATCCCACCCTGTGTCTCGCTTCATAGAGTCTTCCCCTGGGTCTAGGCCTGAAATTGGGGGTGGAGAAAGTGGAGGGGTTGCTGCCCCAGCTGGGTGTTTGCAGGCAGCTTCTGGGCACAGGAATGGAAGTAGCCTGCTCGCTTGGAACTCCTTGGCAAAAATGTACCTCTCAGCCCCCAGATCACATGGTGCTTTCATTCATTTATTTATTCAACGCTCATAAAATGAGCGCCTACTGTGTGGCAAGCCCTGCACTGCTCTGAGAGAACTCGCTGTTGCCATCAGCTTCGAAGAGGCCAGCCAGCGCGCTCTGAATTTTGTTGTTTGATTCACAAAGAGGGAGAGGGAGAGGAAACCAAAGAGGTTGGGAACTGGTGCCTTTGCTGGGCAGTAAAAAGACCAAGGGTCTGAGCCCTGATTTTTTTTTAAATATATTTTTATTGATTTTGTACAGAGAGGAAGGGAGAGAGATAGAGAGTTAGAAACATCGATGAGAGAGAGTCATCGATCAGCTGCCTCCTGCACACACCCCACTGGGGATATGCCAGCAACCAAGGTACATGCCCTTGACCGGAATCGAACCCGGGACCCTTCAGTCCCCAAGCCGACGCTCTATCCATTGAGCCAAACCAGTCTTGGCTGAGCCCTGGTTTTAATATTTTTCTATAAATATTTGTGGGGATGCCCAGCCAGGCAGAGACTGCCCTGAGGGAACCTCCAACTAGTGAGATGAAGATGAACACCCACCCTGGCAATCAGACGACCATGAAGCCCAGAGCGCAGATGCTGCCAATTGAAACACCAAAGCAAACTGGGACTGATGGGAAGGCTTCCTGGGGAAAGTGACTCTAGATGGAACCTCAATCATTGGTGAGACAAAAGTGCAGCAGGGCACAGGCTGGTGTGGCTCAGTTGGTTGAGCACTGCCTCATACACCAAAGGGTCATGGGTTGGATTCCTAGTCAGGCACACCTAGGTTGCAAGTTGGATTCCAGGTCAGGATGGGTGCAAAAGGCAACCAATCTGTTTTTCTCTCTCTTTCTCTAGTCAATAAAAATATTTTTTAAAAAGTGCAGAGTAGGATTGGGGGATCCAGAACTTGGCAGGATCACAGAACTGGAAGAAACTGGCTGGACAGGAGTCAGATGGTGATGGCAGACTCAGCTCACCCACTTTTTGCTCTCTGAGTTTGGAAAGTGAATTGTTGTCTTTGAGTATCAGTTTACCCTTCTGCAAAATGGCCTGGACAAGGCAAGCATCTCCAGATTGCTGGGGGTGTCCAGGAGGATGGCCTGTGGATGGCTTCAACACAATAAATGCTCAATAAACGCAAGATCCTCATGGGCCTTAGGTCAGTGAGCCAGAAGGGTGGATGGATGGGCAGCAGGAGAGGGGTTCAGGATGGGCACCCCTAGCCACTGTTTGAGGAATATCTTTATTAACATTCACTTCAAGGTAAGGTGCGATGGGAACCAGATGTGGGATCACATGGTCACACTGAGGCAGGGCAAGGAGCAGAGATAGCACTGGAGTCACACTGGGGTAAGGATTAGTCGGGATGACATTGAGGGTAGAAGCAACCCCCAACCCCATCTGGAGATTTTGTTGTTGTTGAGAGATCAGAAGATTGCTTTCTGGCCTGCATTCCTGGGTTCAGGGCGCTCAGGCCCTCATTTTCCTTTGCCCCTTCAACTCTGATCCCGCTCCCAGCCTCCCTGGAGGAGTTCTGTGCAGAACTGTGCAAATGAGCGCCAGCACTCCAGCTAGGTACTTCCTCCACCCGGGGATTTTTCCTGCTCTTTATGGAGAGCTTCTCCAACGGGTCTCCTGCAGGGGAGTCCTTCCGCAGCGGGAGACCTGTTTCCTCTGTTCTTTGCATTTCCTCTGTCCCAAAGGTCCTCCCAGGTTGGTGACGGGCTAGCTTCAGCCGGGGCTCCAAGGCTCCCTGCAAGCTGTGTAACCTGGTGATCGCACCTCTCTGAGCCTCCATTCGCTCCTCGGCAAATCGGGGGCCCCAATCTCTGTTAAGTGTGGAAGGGGCTCAGGGCGCCGGAAACGTTCTTTTCCCGGCTGTGGCGGGTCCCAGGTCCCGGAGGAGGCATGCGTTGGTCAAGGAAACCACAACCCATCAAACCAGAGATCACAGGCCGCCTCACCCCACCCAAGCAGTGAGCAGGTGACAGCGCGGCCATGGGGCCCAAACTCCAAGCTCTCCACCGGCCACCGGCCAGAGAGTCCCGGAGCTGGGCGAGGAGGGCAGAGAAGGGAAGAGGCCGCTCTCTGAAGCTTCTGAAAGTCGGCCCAGAGGAGGGCTTCTCGGGGGTCCAAAGAACACAAGTCCCTACGCGCCCCTAGCCGGAGCCCCCACCGAGGAGGGGAACAGCCAGACGCGAAAGGGGCCACGCACGGGATTCCGGCGCGTGTGTGCACTTTTCCCAGAGGAACCAACAGCGGGGAAGAGAGACTGGAAACAGCGGTAAAGGCAACGGCGGGGAAGCCGGCAGCTGTGCCCACACATTCGCGCAGAAACTGTGCAAAGGAACGCCTGCACCCGAGGCTAGCAGCCCATCTGAGTCCGAAAGGCAAAACCTGCTGGGTGCTTTTTATTATTGTTGTTGTTGTTGTTGTTGTTGTTGTTGTTGTTGTTTTTAATCTGTCATTACAGTTTTGCATGCCCCCTTCCCCTAGGCCAAAGCAGATCATTTCAGCCCAGCCTCCGGAGCCTTCAGCGGCTCCTCGGGTGGAATCCTTAGGATTCTACCACAAGGGAGAGTCAAGAAAGAGCAGGGGCAGTGGAGGGAGAGTAGGAAGCAGGGATGGTGGGGGCAGGGGTTGGGAAGTGGGGAAGAGGGGAGAAGAAAGGATTTGGATGAGGAAATTCACTCTCTCTATTTCCACCCCCCCCCTCACCCCTTCAAAAAAACCTTAAGAGGGTTTTGGGAGATCAGGTCGACTTTCCGAAACATCTGAATCTTTTTACTGCACTCGATTCTTTTCCTGGGCCAGCTGTGGAGGGGAGGAGGGAGAGGCGAGAGTAAGAGAGGGAGGGAGGGGAGAGAGAAAAAGAGGGAGAGGGAGAGAGGGAGGAGAAGGAGAGAGGGAGGGAGGAAAGAAGGGAGGGAGGGAAGGAAGGAGGAGAGAGAGAGAGAGAGAGAGAGAGAGAGAGAGAGAGAGAGAGAGAGAGAGAGAGAGAGAGACACCAGGAGGGAGGAGGGAGAGGAGGAGCAGGCCCGCCCGGAGCGCACAGCCTCCCGGCTTCTCCAAACTCGCGGCCGGGGCGCGCGGTGGCTTCCTCCCCGCGCTCCCGCTTGCGCCCCCGCCCGCCGCCCGCCGCCCGCCCGGCATGAACGCGGAGACCTGCGTCTCTTACAGCGAGTCGCCGGCCGCGGCCATGGACGCCTACTACGGCCCGGTGCCGCAGAGCCGGGAGGGCTCCTCGCCCTTCAGGGCGTACCCCGGCGGTGAGAAGTTCGGCGCCACTTTCCTGCCCGCCGCCGCCGCTAAAGGGCAGGGGTTCGGGGACGCCAAGAGCCGGGCACGGTACAGCGCGGGGCAGCCGGACCTGGGGGCGCCCCTGGAGAGCGGCGCCGGGGCGCGGGGCTCCTTCGGCAAGTTCCAACCACAGCCCCCCGCGCCGCCTCCGCCGCCGCCGCAGCCGCAGCCGCAGCCGCAGCCGCCGGCGCAGCCGCCTCACCTCTACTTGCAGCGGGGCGCCTGCAAGACGCCCCCGGACGGCAGCCTCAAGCTCCCAGAGGGCAGCGGCGGCCACAACGCGGCCCTGCAGGTCCCCTGCTACGGTGAGTGCACGTGCGGGGCCCTCGAGGTTGGGGCCCCCGGGGCTCGTGGCTTCGGCGCCCGGGAAACCTCTCCGGCTGGTGGGAGGCAGCGGTTGCTGGGCTGAGGAGGTGCGGGCCGAGCAGCGGGCGATTCCCGGTAGAGAAATGGGGATCCGATCCGCTGCCCACAAGGAACCGCCTTGCACCTTCATCTCTACCGTCGCCAAGGCCAAGGAGCGTTGGAGCTGTTAAATCCCACTTGGAGTTTGTTTCACCCCCTCTTCGCTGTTTCCCCAACCACTCGCTCTGCGCTGCCTCCAGGCCGGCTCCTCCGCGGCCGCTCCGCACCGGCTCCAGGCGTGCGGGCAGCGGGAATGGCTTCGGCTCAGCCCGGGGCGCAGGGGTCCTGGCGGCCAGGGCCTCCTCCCTGCCGGTCTGGAGGCTCCTCTGGCGGCACCTCCGGTGGGAGCGTCGCAGGTGCGGAGCAGAGTCCTCGGAGCGCCCGCCTGGGATGCCATGGAACGGGGATGCCACACGGATTCGGGTCCAGAGTCGCCTGGGGCTGCGGAAGACCCGAGTCCAGTGGCCACTCTAGCGCGGCTGGTGGACCGGCCAGGGAGGTGGACCCGCCAAGGTTCCGGAGCGTTTCTCTCCAGGCCAGCCGAGGAAAGATGGTTTATAGGTGACCGCAGGGAGGCAGAGAGCTGAAGATCTGGAGGGTGATCAGTGCTGGGGGAAGAGGGACTTTTCTTGGTACTGACGGGCCCACAGAGAACCTAGGCCTGAATGACCTCCAGGCCCCTGGAACGCAAGCCTGGGCCCCAGAGCTCAGTGGCGGCCTGAGTCAGAGCAGTGAGGAGCCTCCACAGACTGGGAATTGGTGAGCCCCGAACTGGGAGTGAGGGAAAAGGAGAAGCAAGGGGAAGTCTTCTCTGGACTAGATACACAGTCTCTCCTAGAGATGGGCCAGTGCTGACAGGGCAGTGGCTTTGGCTGAGCTGATCCAGGCCAGATGGAGAGGCACCAGGCCTGGGACAGACGTGGGACATGGTGGCGGCCTTGGCAGTGGAATAGCCTTAGGAAAGCAGCTCATGGCCAGCACTTTCTTGCGCTCAAACACGATCTCCCTCGGGCTCAGCTTTAGTTCATTTGGTGGTTGTTGACATGCACAAAAATTCCCACAATCATAGCTCTGTCTACACTTGCATTCTACACACACACACACACACACACACACAACCTCTTCTTCATGAGCCAACGTGGTCACACATCGGGTGCGCACACTCATGTGGCCTCCCAAACCCACAGGGCAGGACTGAGAGCAGATTTGGAAGGATCCGGTGGCCTTTCCCCACTTCCTCCACCTTCCTGTTGGAACGAGATCAGGCCTTCAGATCACATCGGCTCTCAGCTCACACAGGTGCTCCTTCCACGCTCAGCAGCCAGCGGCTCTCTGCCTCCTGGCCTCACCCAGGGCCCTCCTCATCCATGACAGTTGGGACTGTTAAGTGAGAGCAAGTCACAAACTGGGGGCCCCATGGAGGTGCACTGCGCAACCCCAGGAGACTCCCGTGCTTTCTCCTCCACTGGACCGGGTTTTCGTGGTTTAAAGAAATTCGCTGGGGAGGCTGCTGAAGAGGCTTCCACTTTAGGCAGAGAGATCCCACATGGCTTCCACGTTCTTCTTTAGAAGGTGCCTTCGGGTCCAGGGGAAAAGGGATAAGGGCTGGCCCCCTCTGACACCCTTTCTAAGCCCTACAGGGCCTTCACATGCCAGCCTGGCCCTTTCTCTACTTGCATTAGCCACTGGGGCTGCCCACAGTGTGGCCTGAGAGTGAGTAACTCCCCACACCCCAGTCCTCATCTGCATCATGGGGAGATAATAGGAAGGCCTTATTGGGTGGTAAATGTCCCCTGCGGAGAGCGGAGTCTAGTCCACCCTCTTCCACATTCCCATCATGGGGGGCAGGGGAAGGCTCTGTGCAGTTGGGAACCTCTAAGCACCCAATTCTGAGGAGAGGACAGGAGCCTGCCCCGCTGTGGGCAAAGCCTTAAGCTGAAGGTTGGGAGGAAAGACAGCCAGAATCCCAGGGCATACAGGCGGATCCCTGGCTGCCAGAAGTGGAGGCACTATTCAGGGCAAAGCCACGAACAACCAGCAGCTCTTCCCTCTTTTCTTCCTCTCAGCACTGTGCTTCCCTGCCGGGAGGAGCTCTCTGGTCCTCATATAAAAGGGATGGGCACATTAGGTACAAGATCAGGAACCGTGGGCACCCAAAGGTGAGGCTCTGCCCTTCCCAAGGGCAGCCGGGACAAGAGCCTCTGGGGTAGATTCTCTAGATTGCCAGCAAGGAGGGAAACTGAGGCAAGTACTGACAGCTGTTCTCTCCCTCACTTGTCAGACCCTATGTTCAAAAGAGGAGAAATGAGGTTCAAGGAAAAAGCCTCGGGAGCTTGGGGAAAGTGGGGCAGACAGGGCCCCGCGCTGATGCTCAGGTAGCTTCCACCTCACACCCTCCTTCCCAGCTCTGTTGCTCCGGGGTCGGGGTCGGAAGCCAGTGACTCCAAGGAGCTCAAGGCCAGGTTCCTCCTGGACCTCAGTCCCTGGGAGTCACTCCCAGAGACCAATGGGTCCCCGCCAGTTAGGCACGGGCCTGGGGTAGGAGCGGCCGCTGGGTCTCCGACAGACAGCTTTGGCAGGATTTTCTCTGAGTCGCCAGGAGTGGAGGTGAGAAACCCTCGCCCTCTCTACTGCTAACCCGGTCTCGGTTTTCCCGTCAGCACTAAAAAGGCGACGGGCTCCAGGAGCCGGCAGTCCCCGGCAGCGTGTTCACCAAGAACCCACCGGGATCTGGCCGGCTGCAGTTCCGACCTCCCGGGCTCCTGGGTCTCCTAGCTCTGGGGCAGCACTTTTACCTTCCGAAGTCCCTTCCTATCCTTGGCCCGTTTTTGAGCGCCTGGGCTCCAGGAGACTCGCCAGGTTGGAGACTGGACATTTCTCAGCGGCTCAAACAGCCCCCTCGCCGCCGCCGCCGCCGCCGCCGCCGCCGCCGACGCCGCTGCTGCTTCCGCTGTGGTGGAGGCTCAGGAACCTGGCCCTCAAACCCAGGGCCAAACCTCAGAGCCTCCCCAGGCGCTCCCGGCCCTGCCATGCGCCCCGGACTCTTCTGGGAGCAGACCCGCTCCCTCTGTCTTTCGCTTTCGATTCGATGCACGCAGGTTTTCGTTGCGCGCGGATTGCTACCCCTAATTCACCGGCCAGGGCAGCGCTCCCCGCGCTGAGGTCCCGCCCGCTATCCCGTTATCCCGCTATCCCGAGGCCGCTGGGTGCCCCTGAGGCCGGTCCTGATTAGTGGAATGGGAGGCACTGTTTGAATGCTCGAGACATTTATTTCCCCACGCGGACACAATCACCGCAAAATGGTCAATTCTGCCCCAGTGGTGTGGTGTTTGAATTTAGTCAAAGAACCAGCGCGGGGTTTGGAAGGGACCCGAAAGGTGCGGGGAAGCCTAGATGTGGCGGAAGCAGTGAGCTCCTTGGTTGGTGTGGTGGAGTGGTCCGGAAAGCTGGAGCCTGGGAGTTGTGGCATCGCAGACCCCCTTCCCCACAATTTTGGAGGAGAGGGAGCAAAGGAAGATGCTTTTAATTTTTTCGTTCTATAATTTCAATAGCCGCCAGCCTGCTCCACCAATCCCGCTTAAAACACCAACCTTCGTAAACAGAAGAACAGAAGAACTATTTTTATTTTTAAAGAAGTAATATTCTTTTAAATCGATGGATTTGAAGAATGTTTTCTTTCTTACAAATAGTTTACACGCAGCGCAGTCCCCACGGCTAAGTGGGACGTTGGAAGAACTGCGTGAGTGTGTGTGTGTGTGTGTGTGTGTGTGTGCGCGCGCGTGTACAGTGGTGTGAGGACCACCTGGGTCCTGCTACTCCGTTGTGTGTTGTGTGTGTACATGTACGTGGAAACTGCGGGGAAATTTTTGGTAAGTTGTTCTAAGAAAATTACATCCCAGACCTCGGCGAGCTGGGGACCAAGCCCGTGCCAGTCGGTGGCGTTTCCTTCGGGAGGATGACTTGGGAGGATGACTTTGTATGCCCCGCATTTGCCGGGTTCCCCATGCCGCCGCTATGGCGGGAACCTCCCGCCTCCGCCGCAGCCACACCGCTGCTGCGCACCGCGGAGATGCCCAAACCCGGAGCGACGCGCAGAGCGGCCACCGGAGTGGTGGTGGGAAACCAAGTTAAAATACCCAAATACCCACACACATGCAATCCAGCTGGAGCCCCCAGGACTTTCGTTTTGGACAGAAGCCGGCGCACTTTTCCTGGGAACCTACCTCTCCTTACCTTGGCCTCAGCCCAGTTCTCTCCTCCCTCCCGCAGCCCTGCGCCGGGAGGGCTTTGTTTGGTGGCACACGGGAACATTGAAATTCGTTCGCAATGGAAATACTGGGATCTTCGCAGTCACGGGGATGAGGGGAGGTTGGACTCTCGCGTATTAGGCTTCACCGCCGCCGACCCCTGGACCAGGGGCTGGAAGCAGCGAGCCGGGAAAGAAGGGGGAAAGGGGGAAGCTGTCGGGAGCGCCCGCAGACCCGGGGGCATTAAGGGGGGGGGGGGACTCTGAGTGGTGCGCCTGTCTCTGCGAGCAGGGGGAGATGAGGGAATGGGGGGGGGGAGCTTGGCCGGAGGTGTTTCCTCCACTTGGAGCTTAGGCGTCCTCCGCTCCCACGACCCCCAGGGACCTTGGCACAGGCCCTGTTTGGGGACAGTGAGATCCCAGTCTGGATCTGAGTCCGCCGACCAGGCGCCACCTGCCCACGAACTTCCAGCAACTTCCCACAACAGCTATGGGGCGCCCGGAACTCGCTAAGGTGACAGGGAGCCATCAGACTCCGAAACCAAGACAGTGAGGCCCCGGCTACATGCGGAGTGGCTTCGCCCAACAGATGCATTAAAAGTGAAAGCCACCCTTGGTCTTGGTCTCGGTCAGGGGCTCTGGGCGCCACACCCC